TATCTCCACTAGAGCACACACTCTGAATATAATTCTCTTTTAATGTGGATCAAAGTGGTGTGAAGTAGGTCTTGAGTATGCCTCTGAGATGTTTGTGAATGTAGCATGTCCCTGCAGCTCAGGGGTGGTTAGGAAGGGCGTCTGTTCCAAGTTATAGGGTGTGCCTGGGGGAGCAGCATAAAGCCGAGGAGGCTCCCCTCCTGGCCCGATGGGTACACTCTAATACTGATCTAATAAAGATACGATTCAAGCGTGACAAGGTACACATGAAGGAACCACATTCAATTTTCAGTGCCAGAGTCCTGCTTATGCACATGTGCACACAAGAGCAAACACACACACACACACACATTCCAGCAGCAGGCAATGCCTTGTTTTGTATGCAAATGAGAATAGGAGGGGTATAAATAATCCCCTCAAAGTAGGTAACACAAAACCATCTGGGTGGTCTTTACGATGCAGCCTGCAATTTTCTTCTTTCTGTTCCTTTCCTATCCTGTCTTGTGCTCCTTTCTGCCCCCCTCCCTGCAACCCTCCTGGTGCCGGCTGAACGCTAGCTTGTTTCTTGCTTCGGTTAATCATGGATGATGTTTGTTATTTTCAGCACACAGTAGATAAGGACACGAGCCATAGCTAAAGGATTGGCAGAAAGTAGACTTGGAATGTCAACTGCACTGTGGTTGATGAATAGGCAGTTTACTAAGGTCCCTAAATGTGGTTCCACTTTTACGTTTGTTCCTACTAAAGTCAGACCCCATTGCTCTACACTGCCGAGTTCTGCCCACCAGCTCCCTGGAGCAGAAGGACTCTCTTCTTTCCTCCACCCTGCAGCATGCATTTCACAGGGGCAATGGCTTGAGTCACATTATTTGTATTTTACCAGAATCAGAAATGCATGCAAAGCAGGACATTGAGGGTGCAGAGTCCTCCTTGTGAGGAATTACTCGCTTACGAACAGTGGTTCAATTAAAAGTAACTATATCCCAGGGGTGGCAGTGAGGCCTGCAGCACAGTGGGGAAGAACTTGGGCTTTAAAGACAAACAGAGCCGGGGCTCAATGCCTTCATCGCCACTCATTAGCTTTGTAATCTCTTTCTCCTAGTCTCAATTTCCTCACCTGTAAAATAACCCCCACCCCCTAGGAGCTCCGTTAAATAGGATCACACATGTCAAGTGCAGTGCTGGTATATTATCCAGACACCAAACATGTGCCCAGCACAATGGAGGCAACAAAGAGGGGCAAGATGCAGACCTGCTGCCTTGATAAGCTTATATCTTAATATGAAAAATCTATGTAAACTTAATATTTTGATATCTCTGAGCCTTACTTTCCTCATCTGTGACATGCAGAGAACAACAATACCTACTTTGGATGATTGAGTGATGAATGTACATAAAACATTTAGAACAACACTGGCACACTGTAGTACTTCAAAAGGTATTTACGACGATGGTGGAGAGCAGTTAATATTTTGTGGAGAGGATTAGGAATTATTCGACAGGGAAAGTGATGGAGGCATGAGCTCGAAGGATGGGCCTGGTATTGAGAGAACATCCTCGGTGGAAGGGATGATTGGAAACAAGGGTACAGAGGTGGGAAGGTTAAGGTGAGCTCACGAAAGAGACAATCACTCCATTTTGGCTGCAGCAGGGGGTACACAACGATAACAGCAGAAATCCAGGAAGGCTTTTTGAGAATCTTGAAATGCTAAGTGAAAATGTGTACCTTACTGGGTAGGCAGCATAGAGATCATAAGCAGGGGGAATAATACGATCAGAGATAGGCACTGGAAAAATTAATGTGTCTAATGAAGTAAGGGAAATCAGAATTTCCATCAGTGATGCCAATGAGAAGCTAGTGGCACTCTGTTTATTCATTCAACAAATACTTCTTTGTTAGGTGTGAGGCGCCATCCTAGGCATTGGCTGTACAATGGTGACCAAGGCAGAGTCTGTCCTCCTGGAGCTTATAGTCCTACTTGGAGAGATGGATAAACAGGCAATCGCCCAGGCTATATCATTTAAAACAGTGCAGGTTCCATGGAGGGGCCTATAAGAACTTCAACACGATGGGTAGGTAGAATGAGTCAGGGATGGACTCCCTGAAGAAGGAATATATAAACTGAGATCTGAAGGATGGGAAGTCCACCAAGTTGAAGGATGAGGGAGAAACTGCTTTGCACATCAAGGCACTGAGGTGGAGTGACAAGATCAAATTCACTGTACAGAAAGGCCTTTCTGGCATTGGTGTGGAAAATTCTTTGGAAGGCAGGCAAGAGCAGAATTTGGTTGGACTCACTAGGAAGCTAGAGCAGGAGTGACATCAAAGGGTGATTGTGGGAATCCTTCACACAGTGATACCATCATGCACTCAAAACACAACGAACCTCACGGGCAAAAGAAGACAGACACAGAGAAGGCCATATTGCATGATTCCACTTAGATGACATTCAAGAACAGGACTGAGTAAGGGACAGGGATAGATGGTAGGGGGCTACAGGTTCAGGCTCACAGAGATCCCCAAAATGCTGAGTTATAAGGAAACCAGAGTTAAGTGAACAGGCCAGACCACCCTGCCCTAGGTGTGGGTGGAGAGGATGTCTTTTTTTTTTTTTTTATCACAGTCATCTGTGACCAACACAGAATAGCCAGACCCCAAAAAAGAAGACATTAAAGATGTTATCACCAGTCCTTACTCAAACCAAGACATCACAAGAATGATAAGGCCACAAGCTCCCTGGTCAGTTCTAAATAAAAGACTGTCAGTGGAGGCCCATGTTGGCAACCCTGACCGGGACCCCTCTCACTTTTGAGAGTTCTTTCTTTCTTTCGAGAGCTTTATCTTTCTTTTTCTTTCTTTCTTTCTTTCTTTCTTTCTTTCTTTCTTTCTTTTCTTTTCTTTCTTTCTTTCTTTCTTTCTTTCTTCTTTCTTTTCTTTTCTTTTCTAAGATTGTATTTATTTATTCATGAGAGACACAAAGAAAGAGCCAGAGACATAGGTAGAGGGAGAAGCAGGCTCCCTGTGAGGAGCCTGATGCGGAACTCGATTCTAGGACGCCGGGATCATGACCTGAGCTCAAGGCAGACACTCAACCACTGAGCCCCCCAGGCTTCTGTCCCCTTTCTTAATAAACTTCTACCGCTTTACTCACTCTCCTTGGTGCACAAGATTCATTCCTTGACTCTGTGAGATAAGAACTTAGCTATGGTGAAGGCTAAGCACAGGGCCATGGAAGAGTGAGTCCTCAGTAAGTATTGGTTGTTGCTATTAAAGAATACTTGGAGGCAGAAAAGAGGGAAGTTGTCCACATTTGCGCCAACTGCTTCTCCTCTCTGGGGCACCTGAAGGGATGGAGGCTAAGGATGGGGATTGGAGGAGGAGGAGGGGGAGGAAGAGGAGGACCAAAACAGTAAGTGGGGGAATGTCAGGCTGACCAGGGAGCATGCCCTGCTGGGGTGCGAGCTGAGCATTTCTGGATTGAAATCCTTCCACTCCCTCCCAGCCAGCAACTGCAAAGGGTGTTGTGATGGGAAGACAAGGAATTGGTATTTCGGATATAAACTCCATAGGGCACAAAAATAAAGAATGCCGTTTTACATGGGATAGTTTGAAGTTGAACATTTTGTAACTATGTATAACTGCGGGTGTGATGTATATATAACGTGATGTTATTTAAGGAAACGACAAAAAAATCCGTATCACTTGCCTTTGTACATGGAGACACGTTTCCTCTGTGCATTATTAAGTAGTGAATATTATGATACTATATCTGCATGTTATTTGAACACTTGAAAATAATTTTAATTAAAAGTGCCAATCCCTCCTAGAAACCAGTGGATTCCAAAACTTCTCAGGTGGAATTTGGGGAAATATAATTGGCACAGAGTCAATGACCAAGAAAGCAGGTACTCCAGGGATTCACATCTTTTTCTTCCTTCTCAAGGGGACTGGCTTGTGATATTTCATACTGTCAGTCAGCAGCATCATGTTCATTGGTTAGGCCACAAAATGCTAAACTGACTTTATTTCAATGAGGATAAAAAGGAAATTACATATAAAACAGAAACCTATTGTGTCATACACAGAAAAACTACGATTCTGGAATAGGAGGCATAGAATCTTATTTTATTTTATTTTATTTTATTTTATTTTATTTTATTTTATTTTATTTTATTTTATTTTATTTTATTTTATTTTATTATTTTATTTATTTTTACGGGAAGGTTCTGAAAAAAATCAGCATTTTGAGGCCTAGCTAGATTTAATATTATACTCTCATTCAGAATGTGAGCTGAGAATTTTGTCAACATTCGCAGCTCTGTCTGCCTGTATTTTAACTGAAAATCGTCCAACAATTGGACACAGGGTGTTCTGAAAGAGCTATCTCCGAACAACAATGATACTGATAATAATTATATTGGCTACCACATTTATTAACAGTTTTTTATGTAGCAGGTATTGCGCTGAGCATTTTGGGTGTATTAGCTCACTTACTTCCCACAACAAACCTATGAGAGAGGTATTTTAGGCATTTAATTATACCCATTTTATGGGTGAGAACAATAAAGCTCAGACTAGGGTGACCAACTGCTCAGATTTTCCCAGGATGTGGAACATTCAGTGCTTATCCTAGGAAAGTCCTGGGCAAACTGGATGAGTTTACCTTTCTATAAAAGTGACCAGCTTGCTTTTTAAATGGGAGAGAAATTTAACCTCTTCTCTTCTTGGCTGGTTAGTTTTCCCACCTACTACCAGCCCAGCTCTAGATGATAGTCTACGATGGTTAAATAGCAAAAACATTCTTTGGCAGCATGAGGAGGGGGGGAAGGGTCTAGGTTGAAACTGGGGAATAGTATTTCACACGATGTAATTGAAAATGTCATTTTGCCTCTCTCTGTTCCCAAATCACTGAGCCAGGGAGGCTGCACCTCCCTTTACAACATTTCCAAAGGGCTTGCACGTCAGCATAATCTGACATTCAAGGTGAAAACCCACTCACCTTGGGAAGTGGGTAGAGATGACACAATGGTTGGCCAGGGTCCTGCTTACAAAACTCCAGGGAATGACACACCACATCAGCATTCATATCTGTGTTAAGCCTGGAGGGAAAGGGGACAAAACAAAGGCTATTTAAGATCTCTCAGGCATTTAGGAAATAGAACCTAATTCAAAAGGAGGTAAATCCCCAGAATGGATTCTAGCACAGTGTTTGAGTCCAGTCCCATCTAGCTGCCAGGTCATAACGAGCTCCTGCCCTGTCGCGCTCTCCTCTGTTTAGGATAAGGTCCTGGGGGTGGGGAGGGGGCATCGACGGCAATGGGCTATGGTCAGCCTCTCACACGGGCACTGTGATTCTTTTTAGGAGAAGCCACAAATAAAACTGGGAAAGGAAAAATGGACAGGGGTATAATTTGATAGAAACAATATTTTCAAGTTTTCTAGGCCTTATAGCAAAAAATAAAGCCTTAAATACCTAAAATTATTTTCTTAGGCATAATCCAAATCCTCTCTTTCCCTTTAAAATAAATATATTTCTTGACCTTTTGGAAGAAAATATAATATAGTTGATTGTCCCCATCCCTGACGGTGTAAGGAAATTGTTCTTCAAGCATTTTGGTTTATATTTGGTTTGAAGGGGCTAAAGCAAACCTTCCATATCTATTTTCCACCTGACATTCCCCAAACTCTTCTTACCAAGAAGAATGAGAACAATGTGTTGCTTCAAAGAAAGGAACAATTAGAGTATTTTTTTTTTTTTAGTAACTTTTCCAACTAAATCATTGATTCAAACCCAATCCAACCAAAACCAAACCAAACAACAAAAAGAATCCATAAACATGGACTGGTAATATCTAGAGACTAATCTCAAAAAAACAGGTCTAGATTTTAGAAGATACTTTTTAGGGTTTTTCCCAGCTCACTTGACCATTTAACTGTCTCCCTTCACCCACAGGGGCAGGTTCTTGGCAATTGTGTTTGAGCTCTCTATCTCTGGGCCAGTTGATTGGACCTCATTGGATGACACTGGACAAGTATAATCAGTCAGATTATCTTGCAGAAACTTAGAATTAGTACTAAAGACTTCAACTTCATTCTGGGCTGTTCTCAGGATAACAGGAGCTATAATGACTGGACTGTAATGTCATTTTCTGCCATATGGACTGAGTGGTTGGAAAGTTAATCTATAGGATAGGGTGCAGGGGTCAGAACCCAGTGGGTGCAGTGAGGAAGCCTGGGGAGAACATGCCCCGGTGTTCCTGGTGGCTTCCAAGTCCTGATTCCATCTCTGTCTGCAGCCTAGCAAGATAGCTTCTTAATCTTTAGTGAGCACCTGAATTAAGAGGAAAAAAAGAGAATCATCTGCTTGGCCCCAGGGTTCCTTCATGAGAGGTGGAGGCAACATAAAGTATAAAAGGAGGCCACATCTTCTAAGTTGTGGGGCAAGCTGTCTGTGATAAAGTCCATTAGCAAACTAATGTCTTCCAAGGGTCAGTAAATCAGGGGAGGGTGGCTGTTTTCACACATCTGTTCTCAACTTAATGGTTCATTTATTTAACTGATGACTGCTGTCTTTTTGGGGGTCTGATATTTAGTGGGCTCAGGAGGGTGATAAATAGGGCTCTGCTTAACTTTTTTTTTTTTTTTTTTTAACCTACAGCCAATGTCCCATCTGTGGTAATCCAGGATCACCAACTAATCATATGATATCCCAGACCTATTGTTTTTCTCTGCAATAGGCAGATTTCAAGTGAGTGAACTTGAATATGGGAGTGGAAATGGAGGCCTCACAGTCAGAAAGTGAGACTGGTAGTCTCTATACTGAAGAATAGGAGAGGAGAACTAGGTATTTGGTGTTCTCTCCAGAGTCCTCTAAGATCAGAGCTTCATCATCAAAAGACTGAAAGGGAGAAGTGGTCCTTAGGACAAGAAGAGAAAATGCTGAGCCTCATAAATCCAAACAAGTGTAAAACCTTTAGAATGTACGAGATGCAACAAAGTGTCAAAGTAGCACATTGCTCTTCACCAGCTGTGGGAGAGAAAGCCCAAGTGACGCATAAAATGTGAAATCCTTAGGAAATGTCCAAATTCATAATAACCATTCCTACCCAACATTGTTTTCCCATACTAGCAAAAAGACCAAAATAGTCACATTTTAATTTCCTTTCTTTTACTACCCTTACAGGTACAGGGGTGTACAGGAATGAGGCACGGGGTGGCGGGCTGGGGATGGTGGAGGAGGAAGCATCAACATATTTGGCAGAGCTAATTAACAAGTTTAATTAGGATCACATAGAATGAAGTCAATGATGATGATCATCACCATAAATCAAAAGAAGGATGCAAGGTCAGGGTTAACAGACAGTCAGAGTAACAGCCTATGGCAGGGAGTGAGGACAGGGCCTTCCACACATGAAAGCTCTCAGATTTAGACCTTGACATCACTTTCAAAGGCAGTTTATGTATTAATATGTAGTCACAGAGATATACTCATAGTATTGAAGGAAGATCATCATCATCCAACTTAATACTTTTATCCCAGTTCTGGACCACACTCAGAGTGCACTAAGTGACTTTATTCACTTCCATAAATCTTGTATAGTAGTCCTCCTTTTATCTGTGGTTTTGCTTTCCACGGTTTCAGGGACCACTGGTCAACTGTGGTCTGGAAGCAGATGATTCTCTTCCTAACATATTGTCTGGAGGTCAATAGTAGCCTAACACTAACACAACATCACAATGCCTCATCATCTACCTCTCTTCATCTCATCAAACAGGCATCTTAGCATCTCACATCATTACATGGAGAAGGGTGAGTACAGTGCAATAAGATACTTTCAGAGAGAGAAAGACAGAGAGAGACCACATTTACATGACTTTTATTACTGTGCATTGTTACAGTTGTTCTATTTTATTATTGTTGTTAATCATTTCCTGTGCCTAATTTGTAAATTAAACTTTATCACAAGAGTGTATATATAGGAAAATAGTATATATAGTTCATTACTCTCTGGTTTCAGGTGCCCACTGGGGGGTCATGGAATGTATCCCCTCTGAATAAGGGGGGGGACTGCTGTAATTATCTTGTGAATGGCACAGATTTTGCTATGTATTTTTGGTTTCTGAAAAAAAAATACATTAATTACATTTAAGCATACTATGTTATAAACCTCATTTTGCATTTTCTTCTAAAAAATACCAGTAGTTTAGGCCTCTCCTGATCTCTGAGTGCTCCTAAGTTTGGAATACATGAGTTTATGATTAGAGGAAAGTATAAATTAATCCCAGGAAGCATCGTGAGATGTACAGAAGGTAAGGATCAGGCTTCATACAGCAACCCATGGCACAACGGAGGTTAAGACCAGGCAGAGGAGGACCCAGCACATGGTCACTGCCTAGGATCAGCTGCTCCTAGAAGTAGCACCTCCCAGCATGACCCAGGTTTTTGGGAGAATGCTTGAGTGTTCAGGTGTCCCACTTCCCAAAAACATCCTGTGGCTTGCTGATGGGTAGGAAATGTAATTGCTGAACAATTAGTCCATGAATCATTGAGAATTGACTGGTATGAAATAATGAGGAGGGATGCCCTCTGGATTAGGAAACACATTTAATACTGGAAGCCTGAAATTCAGGCAAAACTGAATCGTAAGGTTGTCATTTTCAGCACCTGTATCAACCCAAAACTGTATGTGATTGATCAAAACAAGTTGCAGGAAGAACACATCAGAAGAGGAGAAATGGCTATCAGCGAACAACTAATATGGGTGCTAGGAAATTACTCACAAACTGAACTAATAGTGGAAAGAACCATGACTAGGGATGGTTTGCTACATCTGTCTTTCTTCAAATGGCCCACCCCATACTAATGACAATTCGTTGTCTTATGACTTTGAGTCATCTCAAAGGAAAAAATGTCCTCCTCTCCGTACCACCTACTCAGGGAGTGACCCTCTTTTGGTGGTTTGCAGGGCCCATTCTTCCCTAACACTGTGTTCATTTGTTGTTATTTTAGGTGGGGACTGTCACATCTGCAGTCCCTAGTACAGTGTCTGTCTATCTTCTCTGATCCTTGCACTTAAATGTCTCACACTTGCCACTTTCCAGCCAACTATGGAAGAGCAATGGGTTTCTCAATACATCCAGGCCACAGCCCTTTTAATCCGAAGACACTTGGTGGCTGATCTCTGGCTCCCCCTCTTGGGTACCTGCCTGCACTGCCCTCTTTAGCTTCTATGACTTTTTTTTCCATCTACCTCTCTGGTTCCCTGAGCAAAATCTTTCTGGACAACCTGACACTTCCCCAGAGCACCTGGCTCATACTAGGTATGTATGCAGATTCCATGAATAAGCTAAAAAGTTTTTTTTTAATCTGTTTTAATATGTTCAAGCAATTTCTTTGGAGCAGTCTAGTCATAGCTCATCTATAGTGATACTTTTGTTCTTTTAAAATAGTTAATTCAACAAACATTTACTGAAGGCCTTCAATATATATTGAGGACTCATATATAGCAAGCCCTGCACATAAAAAGCTCTCTCCTTCTCCTCCCCTTCCCTCTCTCCCTTCCTTCCTTCTTTCTACATATTCAGTATTTTGCTAAGTACTTAGAGATGCAGAAATGAATAAAATGCAGTCCTGGCTCTCAGAAGGCTTTCAGTCTACTCAGTGACTCAGAAAAGTCCATGGAGAATGAAATTATACACAGATGTGGTAAGTGCTTGTTAGGGGTTTGCATGGGGTCCTAGGAATGTGTATGTGTGTGTAGGGTGGAATGGTGGTGGTGGTGGTGGGAATGTTGCCCATCTTAGCCTGCAGAGGGTCAGGAAAGCTTCCAGAGGAAGCGACTCTGAAGCGAGGTCTAAAGAAGTAGAATCTATTTAGTGTAGAGGTTTGGATATGCCAAGCAGGGGGAACATCTTATGCGAAGTTCCTGAGGCCAAAACCTCTTGGTGCATGTGGGGAATTACAAGTGGCTTGGAGTGTGGAAGGATGAGTCTAAAAATGTTCTCAGGGACTGATTTATAAATAGCCCTGTGCATGTGGATATGGAATCCTGCAAAAGGTGTGAAGACTGAAGAATTTTATGTTAGTGCCATATTAGTTTGGCATTTAAAAGATATTTGGCCAGCTAGAATGTGGATTATTGACTTACAGACCAATGGGCAGGCCTTCCAGCCTAAAATCCAGTTAGGTGGCAGTTACAGTAATAGAATTATGAGCTAAAAAGAAAGCATCCCTGCCTTCTAAACACTCTGTCTGGAATTCGTGAGAAATCGTTTATCATGACAGAGTGAGGTACATATTAATAGAAGTAGGTGCACAGCATGATTGATCACTGATTACCACTGTGGACTGTATGCTTTTAAGTTCTTTTAGTCTTTAAAATTCTGTAACTCTAGGCAACCTAGTTGTGGGGAATGCCTCTGAGCCTCTCTGCTTTGAGGTTAATGGCATATAAAAAAGGAACCACATAGGAATGATCACTGTAACACCATTCACAAAAGAGAAAACCAGTAAACAACCCAAAGACCCATTAATGGGACAGTGAAGGAATAGACTCTTATAGAGACACAATGGAATATTCTATATAGTCAGAGGGAAAGAACTATAGCAGTGACACAATGTTATCTCATGGATGAATCTTAGACAAATAAATCTAAATGGTAGGTCCCAAAAGATTATATATACTGTGATACTCTATTCATACATCAAAGAAATAACTAAAATATGTTCTAAAGAAATATATATAAGAACTGTAGTAAAATTCTAATTATTTTATGTAATTATATATTAATTACCATCAATTATAATTATTAATCATTAATATATTGACCATTAATATTCAGCTAAAATTAATTTTCTATATTATATTGACATAAACATATCAATTATGATTCTGTATTTATATTAATTTATGTTAACATATTCATATAAATATAAGTTATGTTAATATCAATTTATGTTAATATAAAATATATAAATTATTAGCATAAATTAGTAGACAGTTTTTAATTTTTTTTAGTAGACAGTTTTTAATATGTTATGTGATATATTAACATATAATATATTAATTATTAGCATAAACTAACATATTTAACATAATATATATTAACATAACTATGTATACATATATACTAAAAGTATAAAAAAAGGAAAGCAAGAGAAAGATGAACATAGGATTTATTTTGGGTGGAGAAAAGCATCAGAATGAATGACAGAGGGACTGGATGGTTAGAGTAAGTTATAACCCAAGTTCTAGACTTAGTTTCAGGAGACGAGTTTGGAAGCTAGTTACATTATTCAATGTAACTAAGTAACTAAATTATAAATATAAGAAAGCCACATATGGATCTTTGATGAGAAAATGCCACGAATAGGAAGGAATATAATTTATCTGATCCGGTACCCCTGAGCTCAAAAAAAAAAAAAAAAGAAACATAAGAGAAAGAAGGACAAAGATTATAATGGTGCCCACTCAGGATCCTGAGGGTCAAGGGCTGGGGGTAGGGATGAGGACAGGGCCAGGAAACCCTTGAGGGAGGAGAAGAACCTAAGAAGAACATGGCTTGGGAGCCCAGCTGGGAGAGAAGGGAAAGGCCGGGGCTTTTTGGGGTGCTCGGAGAAGGGGCCAAATGCCTGGGTCCGGACAGTAGGATCCGGTCACTTGTTGATAAAATTCCTTCTGAAAGACTCTTGAAGAGCAATGGAGCCAAGGGAGACTTTGCCTCGAATGACAGAGGATCTGAGTCAGGTCTGAATGCTCCACTACTAACAAGAACAGGAACAGAGCTTAAGCCCTTGTTCAATGAGTACGACCTGCTGGAAGTGGAACCAGCTGCCCAGCAGCTTTCCTGTTTCCCCATGTGCCAGCAACTAACCCAGGCTAATGTGCCGGCATACTCACAGTTTTATGAGGTCTGGTCCAAATATTTCTATCACTAAGTAGCAGGTGGTCTTCAAGAATAACTTTTCTAAGAAAAAATAAAGAAGGGGAAATAGATTATTTTTTGTTCTGGTGGACTTGATGCAGGAGTTAAAAATGACCATCTTTACTAGGAAATGATGCTGAATGATTAATTTATCATTAATTCAAGTTTTATAAGAGTTCAAGATTATAAGAGTTCGGGGGGAAATGTTACAATTAATGTATTCATTAAAATATCATCTCAGGCTTATGTAAATGCCACTTTGTTGACTGTACATGATGAAGATCACCAGTTTATTAAAAAAATAGAGTTAATTTTTTGGGTTTTATTTTCTTCTGTATAGCAAGAAACATGTGAATGTTGGAGACGATCTCCTTTGTCGAAATGAAAGAAAGAGGACTCACTTTAAAGTAAATAGTCTGAAATATAGCTTTGTTAAAAATACTCCTCTCCTGTGTTCATTTGGTAAAAAAGATTGCATTTTGGATATTTAGTTTTTGCTGTTGGAATCCCAGAGATAGGAGACTGTCAAGATATCTCTGCACTGCCATCCACCCCAGAGAATGCAGACACACAGACGCCCTCCCCAGAGCGCCACCACCCAGGGACACACACACATTAACTAAGCAATCTCCTTCCTCTCCATTGCGACAGTACAGGGTTGCTTTGTGGATTGATCTGCACAATGAAACTTCTTAACTCTCTGGTCCTGTTTTTCCAATTTGTGAGTCTACTGTGAGACCTTGGGAATTAGGACCTCAGCACAATTAGGACAGACAGGCTGTCCTGGGAAGAGACAAGAATCTCCCTGACGAGGATTTATCTTGTCAGGCTTATCTCATGTTTTTATTTTTTTTTATTTTTATTTTTTTTATTTATGATAGTCACACAGAGAGAGAGAGGCAGAGACATAGGCAGAGGGAGAAGCAGGCTCCATGCACCGGGAGCCCGATGTGGGATTCGATCCTGGGTCTCCAGGATCGCGCTCTGGGCCAAAGGCAGGCGCCAAACCGCTGCGCCACCCAGGGATCCCATTGTCAGGCTTATCTCAAACTGAGCTACCCCACACCTTTCTTGGAGGGTAGGGTGGTGAAAGAACAGGACCCCCCAGAGAGTGGGGAACTCTCTCTATACTGCATTTTTACTCAATAGTAAATAATATAAATATTACTCTTGTATTATGATGGATCTATTCATAGGACTTTTTCCCCTACAATAAGGCATGAACTTCAAACACACTGTGCTTTTGTAGTAGGAACTTAAAATTATATCCCTACATTGACCTTATAGAAATGAAAAGAACATAGGGGAATACTACATCTGATGACAACTAATTAGATAACTAGATGAGATGGACAAATTCCTCGAAAGACAGACTGCCAAAACTGACTCAAGAATAAATAGACAATCTGGATAGATGTATATAATAAGAGATTGAATTAGTAATCAAAAGCTTCCCACAAAGAAAAGCCCAGAACCAGATGGCTTCACTGTTGAACGGTATCAAATACCTAAAGAAAGCATCTGAATAGATTTTTCTCCAAAGAAGACATACAAATGGCCAATAAGCACATGAAAAGATGCTCATCTTTAGCTATTAAGGAAATGCAAATTAAAACCACAACGAAGTGCCACTTCACACCCATTATGATATGCTATAATAAAAATGATAGATGATAGCAAGTACTGATGTGGAGAAATTAGAATCTTCATACACGACTGGTGGGAACATAAAACGGTGCAACCACCTTGGTAAATGGTCTGACAATTCCTCAAATGGTTCAACATAGAGTTACTGTATAATCCAACAAGACCACTCATAGATATATACCCAAAAGAATAAAACATATACATCCACACAAAAACTTGTAGATGAATGTTCATCGTGGCATTATTCAAGATACCCAAGAAGAGGAAACAACTTAATCCAAATGTCCATTAACAAATGAAGGAATGAACTAAATGGATTATATCCATACAATAGAGTATTATTCAGCTGTGAAAAGTAATGAAGCTCTACCACATGCCACAACATGGGTGGACATTAAAAACATTACACTAAGTGAAAGAAACATAATTCCATTTATATGAAATGTCTAGAAGAGGCAAAGGCATGGAGACAGAAAATTAATGGTTGCTTAGGTCTGAGGAGGATAGATATTTGGGGCAGTGACGGCTTAGAGGTGCAAGTGTCCTTTTCAGTATAATGAAAATGTTCTAAAATTCATTGTGGTGATGGATGTACATCTGTGGGAATATATTAAAAGCCATTGAATCATACATTTTAAATGGGTGAATTGCATGGTGTGTGAATTATACGTCAATATAACTGTTTTAATAAAAAAAAAAAAACCACCTCCTCTTCCTCCTGGGTGCTCCTTTGCAGGGGCACTGCAGTGGAGAGTGTCAAGAACCTCTGATGTCATAGGACTCAGAGACCCGAATTCAGCATCTGTTGATCTGCTTCTGACCTTGGATTGCTTACCTTTCAATTCCCTCACTTGAGAAATGTGGGAAAGGGATTCATTCTCCTTCACTAGACTGTCTAGGAGGTTTGGAGAATTATGTAGCAGACAGTCAAAATTACATGAATTGGCAAAGCACTCTGCAAGCAAGTTTCAAGTATAGCTAACATAGAACTAGTTTAGCTGAGAGCTGGGCAATATTATGCTCGTGCAGTACAGCTTGAAAGAGAAAATTTATCTTCTTTCTGGTAAAATAAGAGATGTTGGTGTGTGCGCGTGTATGTATTTTTTTTTAGAACCTTGTTTTGCTCAAGTTGAAATGAGTGGCTGCAAGTTTCTCCTTGTTCTTTGAGTAGGACTGTCTGTTTCTCAAATGGATTCTGTGATCATTTATCAGACGGGTTCTGTGATGATTAAGAGTGAGGGGCTCCTGGAGCAATGGCTAGTCTGGAAGAGGAGAAGCCCCCTTGACAGCTAAATTCTAGATCAGCACGGAAGGGTACCGAGTGGAGACATGTAAAGCGTCCAGTGCAAGCCAGATAGGGCCCAGTCAACTTGATCAGCTATAACCTCACCATTATTGATACAACTACGGAAAAGATAGTTACTATCTAGGTGCTAGTCACCTATCTGATCTACAATGTATACAGTTAAACTATCTGCGACCAGGAAGGTACAAGAACATTTGATTTCTACAGAGTCAGATTTGAAACAGCATAGAAGAAAAAAAAATGTGGCCATTCCAAGAGCAAAGGAAAGTTAAAAAGGAGCAAGGGAGGAGTCATCATACATTAGATGTACACATGTGTATAAATAAAACCCAGAACATTCCAGGTTGGAAGTCACCTTCACATTTACCATGAAGAAGTTTCTCACAAGAACGTTTTGAGGGAGTGCTTATTTTTACCCTTGTTCTATAGGAAGGAACATTAAACTTTAGAGAGCTTAAAGCCCCCAAACACAGATCTACTACATCATTCAGTAAGAGATTAATTTTTTTACTCCAAAAGCCCATGTTACTTAGAGTGTGCGTTTCAACATACTTAGGACATTTTATTTGATTTTTCATCTACTCCAGGTATGGAAGGTATTGTGATACACTAAGTACTGGTGAGAAATTTGGAGCACAGGGAGATTAACTGACCACACAGCTAGTTTTGTGGCTATGATTTCCAATTTGCTTGGAGATTTTCAGAACTTCCAGAATTTGAGGAGAGTTGCCTTCCTCGTTTTAAATCTACATGAATTTTTAGCTATCATATTCCATGAAAATAAGATTTTTGCAGAGGTGACCCAAGAAAAGTGAAGTTCTAGCAAGGGTCTCAGAGTGTATGAGTCTGCTGACCCCTAGGGAGAATGATTCCATTAATCATTTTTCCATTAACAATTCTGAGATTCTTCCAAGGTGTTTACTAATGAGAGCCAGAGGCAAAAGCAGCAGGTGAAACTGAAGGTCAGTAATGTTTTGCAGAATTAAAAAAAAAAAAAAAAGTCTTCCCAGGCAAGGAAAGGCCAACATGATTTACTGAGTGATTATTCTCAAGAATGTTGCTTACATGATTTCAGACTGCTAAGGTTATGTTTTCTGAACTTTTATTGCTTTGGAGGTAAAAGCAATACTATTTAAAAATAATCTTTAAAATAGTAACTGTGGGTTGAAGTACATAATTTCACTTTCCCTGTCCCCCATTCTCCTGGCTTATCAGACTGAAAGCAATACTGGGTGCAGGTAGGCACTACGGTTCAGACCTATTTTGTTTTTAAGAAGAAGAAATCCTGAGCTAGAAGACTGATTATCTTTGTTACCTTTTACAATTTGCATGGCCATTCTGCGCACTGGTTTCTACATCCATAAAATGGAAACATTAATGCCCACTATGTCTTTATGTATGTCAAATGAAAGAACCTTTAAGCTGAACTGAATACCTTATTTCTATCCAGAGGTAGAACATTAGTTAATAAAATGAAAATAACCCCAAGCAGCATTCTTAATGCTTTGAAATTCCTTCAAATGAAAGATAAACCACTGTGGAAAACTGAAATACCTACTTTGCTTCCCTTGGTGAAGTATCAACTTTTATTTTACCAGAATCTGACTTTCAGACTCCCATTTACCTCATCAAATTCTGAAATGTCCTGTGCTGAGTCAAAAGGAGCCCAGACTGTACCTGGAATACCAGCAATCTTGGTCCATGTTGTGTTACATTTCACTAGTACATTAGGACAGAGCCTTTCATCTTTGAACAATACAACTTTGCCTAAAAAGAGAAAATCAAACCCCAGGTACAAATTATGATATGTGTCAGTGTGGTCTATTACATGGAAATGACAACCAATCAAAACAAGTCTTAATGATAATTATGACTGGTTTTCACTTTTTTCCTTTTTGTAAAATGAGGCAGCCCAGGTGGCTCAGGGGTTTAGCACTGTCTTTTTGTAAAATGGTAATATTTTCCTCTTCTTTCTCTAATTCAGAGATGTGAAAATACAGAGTAAGGTTATAATAGATTGTGAATGTCCAATAATAGGAGGATGGGTCAGTAAAATATGGGACATTTATATGGTGAAGAACTGTAGAGT